AATAAAATAGAGTGAGAATAAAATAAGAAGGAATAGAAAAGAAATCGGGTATTGACTGGAGGGAAGGCCTGGATGTACAACCATGTTTTTAATTGGGTTTTAAAGATTCCCAGCGTAGGGACCGCATGAATCTCTGAAGGGAGGTTGTTCCAGAGGCGAGGAGCCACCAACAAGAAGGCCCGGTTTCATGTCTTTTCCTTCCGGGCCTCTCTCAGCATCAGGCTCCTCAGCCTCACCTCCTGACTCGCACGTGTGATCTGGGTAGACCTTGGAATTGAAACTCCACGGGGCCAAGACATTCTCCCCAAGCTGTACTCTCTGGGGGCGGTCCTCCAAGAAGGAACGGAGCCAGGCAAACGCCAAGCCACCAATTCCCAACTCAGAGAGCCTCTCCAGGAGGATACCATGGTTGACAGTATCGAAGACCTCTGAAATGTCGAGGAGGACCAACAGAGGTGTCAGCCTCCCTGAACAGGTCATCATACAGGGCGACCAATGGCCTCTCTGTACCGTGGCGCGGCGTGAAGCCCGACTGAAACTGATCCAGGGCATCTGTTTCATCCAAGTGAGCCTGAAGCTGGTCAGCCACCACCCTCTCGATCACTTTGCTCATGAAAGAAACATTGGCGATGGGCCTATAATTGCTAATTTCGTCCACCGCCATATTAAGTTTCTTTCTTATGGGCCTAATGAGTGTCTCCCTGAGGGCAGGTGGGAATCTGCCCTCAAGGAAAGACCCCTTTATTATTGCTATGGCCCATTCTGTTGTTATTGGCCTGGCTGCTTTGATTAGCCAGGCCAGGCAAGGGTCAACGGAGGAGGTGGTGGCCCAACAGCGATCAAGCACCTTGTCCACAGTATCAGGCAGTATCAGATATATTTCGCAAGAATTCAACAGTGGCTCTCAGAAAGGCTATGTTTGTGCACCACAGGAATTAAATAGTAGGGTCAATGGAAACTTCATATTGAATGAACAGAAGGAAATGCATATGCATGAAGATGAACACTTTAAGTTAATCAAATACCTGATAGCTTCATCAGAAGTTCAGATGCTGCTTTGACTGACATGTCTTGCTGTAATACATTTGCTGGCACTTCCTGTGATTTGAGATTCTCCTGGGGAATGCTTGGGGCAGACGTTTCAGGTTCATGGCTGAAAACATAACTAGATTTAGGCAAAGTGGAGCTTGTATTTTCCTCATCTTTCGGTTCATCTTTCACTTTGAATGTAGGAGTCAACGGTTCTTTCTGATTTGCAGCTTTTAAGAAAAGGGGAAGAAAGCATTTAATAACTGTGAATGCATAATCAGAAGCCTGCAAGATTACAAGAGCAAACCTAGGCAACAACTGACAAAATTGCTGAAACAACTACAATAAGTACACTAGTCAAGAGGCTGGAATCAATAGTCCTAATGAACAAAGAACCAATACTGCATTCTGATACATTCCCACAACAGAAAACCTCAAATGATATCTGGACAGAACAAGCCAAGGAACTCTCCATTGGAAATCAAGACTTGATGGGCCTCAGAATGGCATCACATATAAACGTATTTCTAAAATATATATATTTTGCAAGCACAAACCTAAGACCAGTGAGGAAGGGACTACCATACTGCTAACAGAACTATCAAATATCCAGATGGGAAGAGCTTTAAGATAAGGCAAGATGCAGGGATTGCAAACAAACAACAAAAAAGTGAGGAAAAATGTGAGTGAGAAATAAGAAACATTCTCAAAGTGGCACGTCATTGCCCTAGGACATTGCATTGCCCATGTTTCAACACTTCTTTTTACTTTACTAAGATTGCATGCAGCAAAATAAATAAGTGGGTTGTGACTGAATCATAGAAGCAACTTTCTGGACTAAGTAATGCCAGAATTAAATAATCACACAATTAACTAAATAATTACCATAAAGTGAGATCTCAAGTTCTTCAGAATGCTTTCATCAGGATAAAATGCTAAAAAACTTGGAATTGAAGTAGAAAATCCAAAAATTGGGCCAGATGTGATGCCTGTGACTCATGAAGACAGACTGTCAAGAAGGCAAAATGGCATTTCAGATTCCACAGAAGACATAGATGGCAAAGGTATCAATTTACAGAATCTAAATGCAAGGGCTTCTGTAGAAATCAACATTCCATTTTCCGTTCCTGACAGTCTAACTACATGAGCAATGAGCATCAGAGACGGCTCAATCTTTGGGACTTTGCGGTTAACCCCAAGTTTAATACTACCTTTGCTTCATGGAGATTTCTAGAGAATTTAAAAGCTGTAAGTTATTTGTAACTTTTTAGTGATCCAATAAAGGCGTTGCTTAACTTAGAACACTGTGAGATTCCTAACTCCATGTTTGTTTCTATTGTACAGTGAAGGAATCCATAACTTCTTAAGCAATTTAGAATAAAGCTCTAAAAGACTATAATGGAACTGGTATGGATGGATTTGTGATGCTCTTTACCACTGTCCCATGGACAAATGTGTATTTATGATAGGCAACAAATAACCCGGTCACTTAAATAACTACAGTAAGCACATTAGCCTAGAGTGTAATCTAATGGCCACATGAACTAAAAGTCAATACTGTATTCTGACCTGTTCCCACAACAGAAACCTCAAATAGAGGAAAAAATCTGGATTTCCCAGGATAACTGAGTAGTAATTGTTCATTTATTTTGTCCAAAAGCCCACATTCACAGTGATGCCTTAGGTTTCTCATCTTTAAACCATTGGATCCTCTTAGCGGGGTAAGCAGTTGGGAGGTTATAGATGACCAGCTATAAGAGTCAAGAATGTATGGCAATAATAGTTATAATTGATATAACCAATGATAAATATTGATAGAAACAGGAGGCTAAGACTTCAATCCAAGAAGTTACCCCTAGTAAATATGTCAGAATTTACTTTTGAATAGGAATTCAAAGGATCGGGCCTGCAAAGTTGAGCGGAGATTACTGGGGAAGGAGCAGTTTGGTGAAGAGTTGTCATGGGAAAATAGAATATGATGGGATGTCAAAGTTAAGACACAGACAGCTTTCAAAAGAAAGCCAAGGGCTGATCAAAGGAATAAGGATCAAAGGGCAAGCCAAGGCCAAATGACATACAGAAACACTCAAGAGCCAGGAAGACTCTAATGCGTCTTTGCTCAACAGGGTTACAAGCTGCCACCTTGATGGCTCACAATATGGGGCAACTGCCCACAGAAATGATGGTTCCCACGTTCAGCCTAACATGTTTCCTGACATAAGAAAAATTTAAAAGGTTGTGTATGCGAGCTCGCCTAAAGGCAGCAAAGTGAAATATTGCTGGGTTTCTTTCTTCTTCAGGCTTCAATGATCTCCTGCATTCCCTCTGCAAAACAGAACAGAAATCCTTCCTATTGAATTCTCCTTTCGTTCAAGAAAGCCACTGCACTACCTTTGTAACAACAGGCTTTGTTTGTGTGATTGTAATCGGAAATGCCTTAACAAGACATGCTTTTTATGGGCCTCTGGATGCTGCTGGACTGCAACTCCCATGAGCCCTGGCCAATACGATTAACAATAAGAAATGGTGGGTGTTGCAGTCCTAAAATATATGCAGGGCTGTACTGTATCGACCCTTGTTTTACACACTACAGTCATTCTACCAGTAATGTCAGAAATCAAGGAAAGGTGTCCACTTCACTATGATCAGCTAAAACTCATTCATGGTCATCTCAACAACACGCCCGTGCCTTAATTTTATCAGACTGCTGATGCCTTCTGGCTGCCACTCCCTAGGATATAGACTTCTCTACATTCATAGAGAAGAAACACTCCTTCAGTCTGTGGTTGCCACACTGGAAACATAAGAAGTTACTATCCTGACTGGACAGTTAATGCCTGAAACTATCTTTGGGGTCCCATTTCCCCTCTGCAATGAGCCAGTGTGGGGCATACATTGTTTTAGAACATTGTCCTGCTGACAGAACAACAGGGGGAGATTGACTTCCAATGGATTCTTCAAACAAGGGCTGCCAGGAAAGTTCATAAGCAGAGTGTATGGATTTGACATATAACTGTCTGGACCTGGCACCTTTCCCTTTTTCATTTCTTTAATTACCCCTTCCGTTATGCTCATTTGAAAAGAAATCTGCAGTGCATCGATCTGGGCCAAAGCAAGCAATTTTCTAGGGAAAAAAATGCTAACAGCAAACTATTCTCAGGTTGCTTGTCCTTTTCTGTTGTTTGTATTATAATAAATGAAAATGCTTTCTTAAAATGTTGCTAGTAAATTTTGACCGCCTGCTAAATAAAACATAATCGCTTATTGGTTTATGGGCCGGAACTCTGTTCAGCATAGCGGTGCTGGCCAAAAGTACAACATCACACATTATTTTAGATACACACTGCTCTGATCAATGGGTTTAATTTTGTTCCTTAACATAACATCTTTCCCCTTGTGTGGCATTGACATATCTACCAAGTTTACATTTTCATCTTAGAGATATATCTCACTCCTTCAGTGACTTTATAACATGTTGCTAGGTAACAGTGCACACAAGTCAGGCTTCAGGACCTTTCGTTAAGATGCTATAAAATAAGCACAGGCACTTTTTTGCATGAAAAATGCACGTCTGGGTTCTTAGTATTCCTGTGTGCTAACCACTAAAGAGTAACTTGTCAATTTCTGAACAAAAAATCCCAGAAAAAAACAGGCACAGAAGTGCATTCAGTTTTTTGAGCCCTCTATTTCTACCACAAAATTCCACTATGAACTGCTATCTTACCATCAATTCACTACAGGCAAAAGTCTGAAGTTATAGGATATATTTAATTCAAATTATGATGTATGTTTAAAGCACTGTTTATCTGAATGTCACAACTGTAGGCGAAAGAGAATTCAGACAGGTTATATTTGAATGCTCGGCTCCGAAAATTTTCAGAGTCCTGGACAACAGGATTCCACTCAATCAAATAATTATTAAAAGCAGGGGAAAGAGTGAGATCTGCATGTTAAAATCCCATCAGCTCCTTTCACTATTTATTAGGGATATGCCATTCAGATTTTCTGGACTCCAACTCTCAGAATTCCTCTGAGGCTGCACTCTAAGCTTTCATTTATTGCTGTAATGTTTTATAGATGTCACAGTTCTTTGAGGCACCTCTATAGAGTCTAATAGGCAGCAAGACTATGACATCCAGAAGGCGTTGCAGTAGCAGATGAAGGCTTAGAATGTGTCCTCAGAGGTCTAGGTCCTGATCCTGGCAAGGGAAATATAGGTGCCCAAAGATGTGGTCTGTAGACTGGAACTCTCAGAATTCTGCCTGAGGAATTCTGGGAGAATTCTGGGAGTTGGAGTTCGAAAAATCCAAATGGTACATCCCAACTATCTGTGTTGGTCCATCGTATGTATGCTTACTTAGAAGTACATTCCACCATTCCCATTATATGTTTACGATTACAGCACTGGACATGTAATCACTCTCCTCCAGCTTGCCCTGCCTCAGAGAGTTGCCAGGAGGATAACATAACAAGCAATTGCTGCCTTAAGCTACTGAAAGAAATGTGAGATAAATAAACAAACGCGTTCATCTTCCTTTATTACCAACTAGCCTTTACAAAATTTCTTTCCATCTCATATTTATAGTTTATTGGCCACAAAAATAGATAGGTGCAATAAGGCACAAGAGGCTTATTTGAATCCAATTCTACAGATGAAGATAGTTAAACTTGACAAAAGGCAGAGGTGCATATGATTTGGCACATCACGAAGCAAGAACATTGTGATGTGCAACATGTCATTGCTGACCCAACCATTTGGGACAGCTGTTTCAATTCAAAAAGAACCCTGGGCATCATTGCAACTGGACAGCTACCTGATCCTAGAACTGTAGAGCTGAGAGAGACCCACCAAGGCTCACCAAGTCCATGTCAAAGTAACAAATCCACAGCTAATGCATCCCTGACAAGTTGCCAGCTAACCTGTTTAGAAACATGTCATCCACATATAGTTATTTCTTTGGCTCACAACTGGTGATTTATACTAGTGTCAGTGAAACAGCCCCAGTCATGGTGGCAAACTGCTGTTAACTTAGTGAGGTGCTGGTTGAGTTCCTTGGTATATACTTAGCTGTGCAACTGGGCCCACAGCCAGGAACACAATTACCACTTTATTAATTAGCACAATCTGCAGTTGCCACTGACCAATTTTACTTACACAAACATAAACTGCCACTTGTATTCTGGCCAGTGATGCTCAGATTCAACAGCCAGAATCATTAACAGTATTTCTTTCCAGAGAGGCTTCCAGGAACAATGCTTATTGCCTAAAGCGAGGGCCTTGCTTTAGCATAGTTTGAGCAAAAGCCTTTTTCTTAATTTTTTCCAATATCAGAACCTGATTTTATCAACATGTGCAGCCTGCAGTGGGTTCCTGGAGAGGGAGGGAAATATTGGCTCACAAATCCTTGGAGATTCCAGTGTTTACAATATGTATTTTATTTAAATATACATTTTGCATTTTAAACTTCACCTTGGAACTCTGTTGTAGCAACGAACTATGTGTTTAAATATACATGTGTATAAATACACATTGTGAGACTGTTTTTTTTAATGCAACAGAATAGTACTGAATATAAAGCCACGAGAAAGTGACACAGATGAGAAACAGTTTCCCCCATACCTACCGGAGAGTTTCATAAGGAAATCTGAAGCCATCTTCACCGAGATATCCTGGCTAAAAAGTGCTGACGCTGTATTGGTCACAAAGTCAATGGAGTCTTTTAGCTTAGTATTGTTGGTGATTCTGTCAACCACACTGGGAGGAAAGGATGGGGCAGAGGCATTGTTGTCATCTTTGGGCTCTTCTTTCACCAGCAATGGGGAGATGGCAGCCCCGGCCTGCCCAACTGCCTCAGGAGTTTTAGAGGGTGTGGCTGCACTCCCCGTGTGATCCGTTCCCCCGTCTATCTGCTGCCCCGTATTGGAATTGTCATTTGACAGCGGGGATCCCTTAATATCCATTTCTGGGATCTCTTCTTTCACTTTGGCTTCTGTCCTCAGGAAATGTTGATGGCAACGCATGTGGAGTTTCAGGCTGAAGTGGCGAGAGGAGGTAAAAGGACATAGCTGGCACTGAAATGTTTCTCCCCGGTCCTGGTGTTGGTGAACCTGAAGTGTTAATAGGAATGGCATGTAATAGCAACAATAATAATTTTTTTTCAGAAAAATAGGTGCATACATATTTTTTTTCCTGCCCTGTCTCCTTAGCTTTTATAGGGACCTGCACATCTCATTGGCTCTTCTCAATGACCTTAACCAAAGAAGTCAAAATTAGGTGCTTGAATTCCACCTCTCTCTATACGCAAGAATTTAACTATGAATATTTCAATCACAGATCTTTGTACAATAGTTATTAGTTGAAAGTCACAGAATTATTCAATAGCAGGCTACAAAGAATGTTTCTCAGCTTCATGTCAAAAGCAACTATTTTGTTGAAGATTTATATTTTTATGTCACTAGTCAACCCTTCTAATCTTAATATTCTTCAATGAATAAAACTAAGCCTATTGTCAGGACATTTACTTAATAGTTAGATCTGCTGATTTTAAGAGTTATCATGTCCTCATTACTGATGGCTGCTAGTTAGAATATACAGACTCTCCAGTTGATTGCAATGATTAATTCTTAATTATCTATTTATTTGGAGGTGGATGAGGTGCCTGTCCAGCCTCTGATCTTACTGCAAGGTCTGTCACTATTTGCTTACAGCTTAAAACAGCCTTTTTTGAGTTAGTAACTTCCGACCAAGTTGACTGGGGATAGTGAAAGTTTTAGACCTGCAAACCTGGAAGCCATTAGGGAAGGTAGCTTTAAAGCACAAACACAAGTGCACATGTGACAACATGACTTGAATGAATGATGAACCTGAGTTTCTGATAGTCTACGTTTCTGAGGAAATGATGGCTCCTCGCCAGATGTTTTGGACTCCTGTTCCCAGAAATGATAACCACCATGATCAATGAAAACATATTGCAGGAGTTGTGGCACAAGGCATTGCAAAGGCCAAAGGTTCCCAAACTCTTATAATTGGGTTTTGGTCTATCTGTATCTTATGCTGTGGGTAGCTCTGTAGCAGCACACCTTCTGTTTGCATTATAATATAATTATGCTTTCCCATTATAAGGTATGTTATCCCAGACAGACAATTGCATATATTAACAAGCCAGAAGTCAGATTTTTATCTACTGTTGCTCTGTGCTACACTGGAAAAGATTCATTACTCACAATTGTTTAACAATAACAACAGAATAATATTATACTGTTGCAATTAAGAAAATGTGGAGTAACTGGGAACAGCATTCTACTGAGCAGAAAGTCCCACTAGCAAAATATGCAAGACTGTACCACTTGCCCAAACACTGCCATTGCACAAGCTGTGGTCTCCACAAAGAGAACCAATAAAAAGACAAGGACCTCACAGTCCAGAGGTCTGCCTGTCCATGAACTACAGCAAGGCTTTTACTAAGAAAAGATGTTACAGAGGCAGCTTTTTGTGTTTATTTGGACATAGAAGCCCACATACCACAGGGGACTCCTGTCTGAAAAAGAATTAGAGAGCTTAGCTTCATGGCATACAAGCCCTCACATACAGGCAAATAGGTTCACTGGACAGTGGCCAAATGTTGGCAAGTATTTGCTATAGACGGTAATAAGGCCACTGCTCTCCATGCCCAACTCTTCTGTTCAACAAAGGGACTTCATAACAATACTCTACTAACTATATCCTGGGAGTGGGTTTTAAACCCACAACAACAGCCTTATGGATTAAGTTTCTTCATTGGCAGCATCCACTGACCTTACCTTCATGTGCGATTTGAGATTGTCCTTGCGTGCACAGCGAAATGGACACAAAGGGCACTGATGACTTTTCAAGCCTGTATGAATCACCATGTGTCGCTTCCAGTAGCTCTTCCTTTTTATAACCAGGCCACAGATTGGACATTGGAAAGGTTTTCCACCTTCCTCTTCTGAGGCTTAGAATAAGAAGCCAAGGGGAAAAAAAAAGGAAAGAACGAACGAACATGTATTTATGTTGCATGGGGTATTTCCCCCTCAACTTTTTTTAAATACAGATTTTAGACATGAAACATCCACCAAATCTTTTTCTTTCATGCACTCATGTACCTCTTTTGACATAGGATTTTCAGTGTATCAAATTCACATTGTTCTGCAGTGGCAGATCCTTGAGTCCTCGTGAAACTTTTTGCTTGGGATTGCAGGACGGTGTCCCCATCATACTTTGGACCACCAGCAGAGGATGCTACTGTACTTTACCTAACCAAACATATCATTCTGTAACTAATTTTCCTGCTCTTGACCTGTCTTAGTGAGAAAGTGTCCAACTCTTGCCTCTTTCACTTTAGGAGTTGAAATCTCACCCCCCAAAAAAGTGGTTAAGTACATCCACAGCTCTTGAATGGAATTTATTCTGGAATTAAGACAGGGACTGACTTAATTTCAAATCCTGAGAAAGTTCAGAAGCCCTGCTAATGCTCTACTTTCATATTGGTTGAAGAAAACCGTTAGTGCCATTTCAGATAGAAAGTCTTAAGGGGAAGAGTCTTGCTGACATTTTTACCTGTAAACTGTTGTTCTCTTTCAAGAACACAGACAGTTAAAAGAAACAAAGGTACTCTACATTTGACAGAACAGCCTCTTGAAATCTACCCACCTCCCTTGTCCCATTTTAATACTGACTAGAGTAGGTAATAGAATACAATTTATAAGTTGGTTTTCACTCAAGGGAGTAAAGGTCCTACTTCAGTTACATTTACATGCCCATGATGCATAAGTCTGAAAGAAAACTCAGTTTCTAAATCATAAATTTAATTTAGCAACTCATTGCATTTGGGCCTCACCGCATATTAATATCTGGAATATTTCTAAGTATCACACATTATCTCTGAATGTTGCTGGTCACACTTGATGCCTAGCTAGAACAGAAAGTCTCTTTCAACACATGCAAACCAACCTTGAGGTCATTTCCAGTATACTGTACAGAACTGCATGACTAACCTAACAGCAAACTATTATCTGATGTTACAAGAATGAGAAAATGTGACCTTTGTGCTCATTCACACCCCTACCTTGTTCATCCTCCTTTACATGCAATGAATGTAATTTGTTGTCTGATTCACTAATACCACAAAGAGGAACTGTAGTGCTTATCAACCATATGTAGCTATCATGACATGAGTCAATCCTAGTTTGTTAACCATGGCGAATAAAAACCATAGTACTGTACTCTAATGTGATTTCTTATGAACAACGACAGGAAGCTTTAAATTTCCTCTTCCTGCATGCCTAAGGCTCATGTTTCCTCATTTGTGCATCAAGACATCATGTTTTTTTCATTATTTCTGAAGTGGCCCAATAGGTCAAAATATGTAATTTCAAATCAGGCTTGTGTCCTATACCTCACAAACTGATCACTTAACTGTGGTTTGCATTATGAGAGAATGCTAGGGCACGCCTTCAACTCATGTACATTCATCTTTGCTTCAGGGGCAGCCATACAGAGAATATAATCTTGCACTTCAGACTGCCCAAGGGTCAGTTTATCTTTCAAGCACAATACTATGGCTAATCTCAAATATGGTTAGCAGAAGCAAGGCTCTTCAATAGGCATAAATAATACAATCCAGAATTTACGCATCTGGGTCAAGCTGCAGTTAATTTTTAAAAAAACCCAAAAAAACAGAAGTGAAAGTTTCTAAATTTCTTCTCATTTACAAATTCTTCTTATTTAGAGTAATTCTCAAATTACTCTAGGCTCACTAGAAGAGTAGAAAGAAAACAAAAACCCAACGTGTACCTGGACCCATTCTCATAATGGGAATCTATGGCTTGGCTTATATCAAAATAAGACTGTTTATAAAGCAAATGTTTGTTTTATAAACACATCTGTCAGAGGTTATTGAAAGGTTACCAAACTTGGGTTTAAAAGGCGATAGTTAAAATTGCAACCTTTTGTAGGGCAATTGTCAGGTTAACCCTTAGCTGATAAGAGGAAGAGCAAATTTGGCCCACTGAGCTGACATAATCAATCATCTGACATTACACTGTAAAACTCAAGTCCTCTTATGAGAACATTTATTTATTTATTTATTTATTTATTTATTTATTTATTTAACTTATATGCCGCCCACACTACCCGAAGGTCTCTGGGCGGCTTACAGCAATTAAAATACAAGAAAAAGGCAAAATAAAAGGGCAAAATAATTAAAATGCAATTAAAATATATATTCTAACAATTGCCATCAGACCCACAGCTGATACTATTTCAGTTAAAAGCCTTCTGGAACAGGAAGGTTTTGACCTGGCGCCAAAATGTCATCAGCATCGGCACCAGACAAATCTCAGTCGGGAGGGCATTCCATAGTCTGGGGGCAGCTGCCGAAAAGGCCCATTGTCTACAAGCCCTCCCTCTTATCTCCTTAAGGGACGGCTCTTTCAAAAGGGCCCCCTGGTTAGATCTTAACTGCTGGGTAGGTTCATATGGAAGGAGGCGGTCCTTCAGGTATCCACGGCCCAAGCCATTTAGGGCTTTATATGTCAAAACAAGCACTTTGAATTGGGCTCGGGCAGCAACTGGTAGCCAATGTAACTTAAACAGAATCGGCTTGATGTGTTCCCTGACCATCTTCAAAGGCAGCCCCACGTAGAGCGCATTGCAGTAATCTATGCGAGATGTTACCAGTGCGTGTGTAACTGTCATGAGACTCCGCTCGTCCATATAGGGCCGTAGCTGGTATAATTTCCGCAGCTGAAGGAAGGCGCCTCTGGCCACTGAGTCCACCTGGGCTTCAGGTGTTAAACTGGAAGTTTCAATTTATTAACCCTCATCCAATCCATTATCAGGTCCAGACACGATTTAGTGTTGCCACACAAGCAGTAAACATTTCTGTGACTGCTGAAAAGATACCTTTTTCCAAAATTGCTATAGTCTGTTGCATATTTTTTGTGATTGTTGGGCAATATTATTGCTCATTCCCTAACATATTCCTCAGCCATTTCTTTCATACTTAAGAACTCAAATGTCAATATTTCTGGTGACTAAAATGCAGTGAAAAACACTTAATGACCTTGCAATTTCCCACTGCATACTGTTTGGCAAGGGCACAGATGTTCTGCACCTGGCTTTCCTTGAGGCTTACTGGAAGGATCATGTGTGCTCTTAAATAGATATGACTTGCAGCCAAGCGTCCTATGCTAAAACAAGTAAATTCAGAAACCTGCGTAAAATATTTAAATTTAAGCAGATTTGCATACATTTCCCTATTTAATTTATTCTGCAACTTGGGATGTGGAACTACAGTATAAGGTACTGAAGACATGCCCGCAATAAATGGATTTACTACTCTTTTTACCCTCTGGTTTCTATTATTTCATACATTCAAGTGTATCTTCCCATCCCAAGGATCAGAGCAGCTGCCTTTTCTAAAGACCATTCCACTCCTCATATTCCCTCCAACCTCCACTGCAATTTGACTCTAAAATAAGAGTGTTCCCTTTTTCTTAATGTGAAACCCTGATCTTTTCTGCCATCCCAGTTTTGTGCATCTATAAGTGAACAAACTGTAAGCCATTTAACTAGGAATTATATCATTCCTGCACTCTGTACAATACCTAACATACACTAATGGTGCTAGTTAGAATTAAATAAATAAATAAGTTGACTAGTAGCTGCAATAGCACCAACTGTAGTACGTAGTAGAGACTGAAGTACAATACTAAATATTCTAGTGGCTTGAATTTTGGTATCATTAGCCCAGAATGCTAATCTTTCTAATACAAATAAATACAGGAATTTTTAAAATGTGTGATACAGATTTTATCAGCAGAACATGCTATACGCAACACCCACATCTTAGTTGTTTTTTCCACTAGACCAAGGTCAACCCTATGTCATTTAGCAGGGCTTACTTCTTAATATATGTACTTAGTCTGGAGGCTGTGAATCATCAGAGTTTTAGTTCTTCATATTTTTGGTCTACTGCAAGGAGAATATAGCAATTAAAGGGATTTCCGTGTCACTCTGTAGTTCTTGCTTAAAGTCATGGTGGCCTGTGACTCTTTTCAAGCAAAATGCAATCATTTTTACTAGGGTAGGCAATCTCCAGAGGACCACACACATCTGTCCCAGATCTTGGAAGACTACAGTATGTCTGCTCCTGTCCATCCCCCAAATGTTTTTCTTTAAAACAATGGAATAAAAAAAAAATAAAAATAAAAAAATAAAAGAGCCCTTGTGGTGCCCTCTAAAGCATGTTGCTTATATATTGCCTCATAGCACTTAAAGCATTCTCCAGGTGATTTACAATATAATTATGCAGTCTACACATTTGCCCCTTTCCCCCAGCAAGCTGGGTACTCAATTTACCAACCTTGGAAGGATGAAAGGCTGAGTCAACCTTGGGCTGGTTACCTGAATCCGCTAGGATTGAATGCAGGTTGGGAGCAGAGGGTTTTTTTTTGTTTGTTTTTTTTTAACTGTAGTACTGCTGTTTCAACACTGCACCGTGAAGCCCTTCCTCTAGAATCTAGAGTCTAGATGCTCTTCCTCTGGTGACCTATTTTGATAACAAAGTACTAGTTGGGGGTAAGAATGTGCCATTCATGGATATGGTTGGAGAGTGTGTATTAAAATCCAAATCTGAGAATTCTCCATTCTGGGAGTTCTATTTGCCAAACCCACACCTAAATTGTGTTCAACTTGCAACAAGCACCAGGGCAATTTACTTTTACAACAGGAAGGTAGGCTGGAGTTTGGCCTACCCTGGGGCCATGAAGCTTTCCAGCTTTGACTTTCTCCAGGTGGACGTGCGCACGGGCCAAACAATGGCAAAACTGCCTGTTGTGCCTCCTGGGGACACTTTTTGAGCATTAAAAATAATTTGTTTAAATTAAAAACAATGTTGGCATTTTGGAATCTGGGAATCACAGGAATGCTTTTGAGGGACACATGTGGCCCTGCAAGCACATATCTGTCCCCCTGCTGTATATACTACTCAGGGACAGATCCCACAGAAGTCATTATGACTTACAAACATGCATCCCCAGCCAGGTAGCCACAACTTGCTTTTTAAGCAATAGAATTAATGTTCTTTGGCATTTTATCCTGACTCTCCAAAAGCACATCCACCAGAGGTTTTCAGATGACAGAATGATAACTGATCATACAGAAGCTGGCACCTTGCACATCCAGTTTTTAAATGTGATTAAAACAGTACTTTCCCCTAAGCAAATACTGTATTCTAAACGCCAGAGAAATATTGTGTATTTGCCAGAGGAAGGTGCCACCCAACTTCTAACTACAGAACAAGTGGCCGAAGAGAAAGATTCTAATCTATACTTCAGTCTAACGATATATGGCAAAAATCCTGAAATATCCAAAAATAGAAAGGGTAAGAAAAATTTATTTAAAAGTAACCCTATTGAATGATTCATATCCACAATTCTGCAAACACTGCATCAATGAAATCAGACCTAGATTCCTTTAGGAACCATGCCTATTGGATTCTACAAAGGACTCCTCCCAAAATACTAGCCCTCCCACAAAGCCCTATGAATCCCATGGATGCCTGCAAATCTCAGAAAGCACTGGGGCAACATCCTTCTCTCTGAAAGGAGAACCACGGCAATGAGGTCCCCAATACAGGTAAGGAAAGCTGGTCTGTTGATTTCTAATATTTTGGCTGCATTTCCCAGAATACTACCTGAGGGAACTTTTTGTGAATTCGGGAAGCTGGAGTCTGAAAATGTGAAAGACCACACCCTTGGTGAGCTCAACGCATACATTACTCATGTGAATGAGCAAACTGCACTGAAATCAACACCAAGACTACACCTTCAGCCATACTGCTGATGTATACAGGTGTCTGCAGGAAAAACACAATGTTGGGAAGTGGCTAAAGCCATGATCCCACTACCCTTTTCAATGCAGTCTATCCTTTCATTTAAGCACAGCTTGGAAAGGTTAACTTTTCAGAACTACAACTTCCAGACTTCACTGGGAGACCATAGTCCAAATAAGAGTAATTTTTTTTTTCAAGCTCTGCACACTTGTAACGCATGGAGGGGGTTACTGGCTTGCTGATAATAAATGTGTTTTCTTGGAAAAATGCAAGCAGCTCCTCCAACTTTGATGGCCCTGTTTGTGATTCAGAAAGGAGTTCTTCAACCAACATGGAATAGCAGTGTTAATCTGTTACAACCAAAACAACAAAGTATATTATGATGGCTTAAAAATAGTTACTTTTATTTTGCTGACTTTAGTTACTTCTTCAGATGGAAGTTTAAATAAATTTTTTCCTTATCCTATTTGAAATTATTTTGATTTATGAGATTTATCCCTCTCTTCTGACAAGAGACATACAAATCAGCATGCAAGATAAGAAACAACTGAACAAAAATTTAAAAGCTCACTGGATATTATGTATGGCAGTGTCCAATCTGGGGTTAGTAAAGGAGCAGACCTGCATGCTGAGCACTATCTTTCTTTTATGAATGTTTACATAGAGATCTGAAAGTGCATGGTGCTATCCTCACTGCTCCCTTTGAGCTCCAGCATTTGTCGATCTTGAAAAAGAATTGTGGTTATTAGAAAGTTCATTGCAACAGAGCCAGCAAACAAGCTGCCAATACTGCATTTGTTACATGGAATAAACATTAAATGTTGCTCCTTGGGTATGCTGCAGTGTTCACTCAGGAAATCAATCCTAATGATCATTTCTCAAAGTTTTTAGACTGGAAAAATGCTTTAAAATCCAGGAAAATTGGTTAAACAATTTAATTATTGTTTATACACACTAATTATTTTCAAACTAATATTATTTCAGAAGACACCAAAATATGAGGTTCATATTATTGTAGAACATAGAATCATATCCTCATTTCCAGCAGTTCAAAAGTCTGTTTTGCTAACCTTAGTCTACACGTTAGTGCTAACCGGAAAAGACCCACTATAACAATGGCGTTTATACAAGTGTTGGTTTATTCAGTCTCCACTGATACAATGGGTCTTACTCTCGCTGGGATTGACAACCAGCTTTAAGCCTTCGTTTACTTATTTCCTTGAACAATGAAAAATCTACAGAAAGAATGTCTGTGAAATTATAATTAACACAGAGGTGACACAAATGCACTCAGTTCATAAACAAAGAAGCCATTTACTCTGAAGCAGCAAAAGCAAAGACAATAAGACTAAACAACAAGCTACATCTCTTACCAGTAATAAATGGCCAGCCCCAAGGGCTGAGATAGATCATTATATTCTGGCATGAGCCAATAGCCAGAAAATATCAGGATATAAGAAGACACAATCCTGAATCAGATTATTGTTCTGACTTCCACAGTATTGACAACTGGCAATAGCTGTTCAGTACCATACCTGGAGATTCCAGGGATTAAACCTGGAAACTTCTGGATGCAAAATGTGTGTTCTAGTACTTGTCTACAGCCCTTCCCAGATCATTTCACTCTTCCTACTTCATTTTTTATTATGCTTCCCAAGAACAGATAAAATGACAACAATTAAGTGCATAATTAATATGACTGATTTGCATAAAACAGCAAAGAATTGCATAATATACAAATTAGGATGTCTACATTTGGAGACTTGCAATACAAGAACTTTACATGCTGAGCTCTGCATTTAGCAGACTCCAGAGGTGACACTGTCCATTTGCGTTGGGTGTTACTGCATACAGAAAGCCCTTAAACTCTCCGTGTCTACTGGAATGGAAATCAGATTCAACTCTTCCATTAACTGGACAATCCATTCACCTCACCTCCACTGAAGCAAGGACCCAACCAGAAACTGACACATACCTTCTCCTAATAATGAATGGCCTCAAAGGCTTTGCAAATATATATACTCCTTCTACAGGGGTAGGCAACATGATGCTCTCGAGAGGACAGACTGCAGCTCCCATGGTCTCTCATCACTGACTAGGCTAGCAAATGCTGATGTGAGCTGCAGTCCAATTAACTTCTGGAAGGCCACATTGCCTAGTTCTGCTCTACTGCTTCAGGAATTTTGTGAGGTCCGGAGAGAAAGCATATCCTGCAGTTACTAGAAACATCAGGGTATACTCATCAATCTCTCTGGTGAGTAAAAAGAGAGGAGGGGAGAGAAGGAGGGAGAGATCAATGAGGACTTGAAGTGGTGGAACAGGTAAGGAAGGAGGAGTGGAAGCAGTAATACAGCTATTATGTAAGACTGTCTGGTGAGATTTTTTAAATCTCACAAAGCTAGAGAGGGACAAAATAGAGAATGACTCAGGCCCAGAATGTGAAATGTAATGCCTGAAAAAAAGAGATAGCTAAGCAGTGAGAGTATAGCTGTGGTCTAAAGCAGGGGTAGGCAACTGGTGCTCTCCATGTTTCATGCGACAACTGTTGGCCAGTGGCCACGCTGTCAGAGGCTAACAGATCTTTTAGTCAAAACATCTGGAGGGCAAAAAGCAGATTGCTTATCCTTGAGCAAAAAGCAGAAGACAGCTCTATAGCAGAAGGTCATCTCATATGGCATTGTAAGATCATTGGCTGGGAGACTCCCATGCCAATTGTTTTGAACCCCCCGGAACTAAAAGAAACAAACAGGCTATACATGTAATAAATAAAACAAAAAAAAATTCAGGCTTCTCCTTGACACTTTACTGACTAGAGGCACTCTCGGAATTTGGCTGTCAGCTATACTACCTTTCTCAATCATGAGGCATGTTCATACTTCTATAGAAAATCTTTATCAAAAATAACAGACCACATGGTGACCAAAACAGTTTACTAATTAGTTAAGCAAGAGGGCCAGGTTAAAATTCCCAGCCAGCCACAAAGTTCACTGGATGATCTTGGGACAGCCATTCCAATTCAGCACACCCCACCCCACCTAGTTGTGAGGAAAAACAGCGGGGAAGGAACTGAACCATTTTTGTCTGAGAAAGGCAGCACAAACATGTAACAAAGAAACACAAGAGTTCTTATCCCAGCTGACCACATTATTTTATGTGTCTATGATGAAAACATAGAATCTAAGATATACCGTGGCTTAATTAAAACAGCAAAACACATTCACTACTATTGTGTGCTTCCCACTAAGAGTTATTTGCTCTCCCACATGAATATATATTATATAAAAATGTTCCAAATTCAATATGGGCAATGTGTTCAGAACACAGAAAGAACTGTATTAAACACTACTTTCTCCTCATACTTGGGGAAAGTCTCACTTCTGACCTACTATATACAGAACTTTTCTTTAATTTTGTTTTCTTAAAACATGGACACAAGGCAGGAATGAAGATGGGAAAAGATACTCTAAATCATGACATTACAAATAGTGTGTGCATGTGTGTGCATGTGTGTGGCTTGTTAGGAGGGTGAAGAAACTTCAAAGATGTATGAGGAGACACAGACAGACACACACACAAGTTTAACACATCTCTGTGGTGGATGCTAGAGAAGTTGAGAATAACTTTGTGCTTATTTTTACTTTAAAATGGTTTTATTACGGTATTTTTTGTATTTATTTTTATTGTAAAATTATGAATTAGATTTCTTGTTAAAAGGGTTTCAATGAAAATAAAGGTAGTGTGGAAGCAGGAGGGTTTATCTGAAGTGAAAAATGAGGCACGATACCAAAAAGTTTGGGAACCACTGGTCTAAATCTACAGCAAAACAACTGCCCATACCTGGGTTAGTGGTTTTAGAAGCTCTTCCTTTAGGGGCTGGGAGTAACAGTAATTCCAAAGACTGTGGTGGAGACACTTTCTCTTGTTTCGTGTCTGAAAGCTGCAGGGGATCCTCTGCAACCAGCGACTTTTTCTTCTCAGCCAAAAGACTGCCTGCAGCTCTAGCCGCAACCTCCTTGAGTAAGGCTGCTGAAGAAGTCATTGAGGCGAGAGAAAGGAAAGAGCTGGCTGGCGGTGGGTGGTCCTGCCCAGGAGTCATGCTTCTTTCACTGACTTTCTTTGATAACGCAGCTAAGGTGGAGCTGGCAGACTGGGAACTAAATGGCGATGAAAAAGTTTCAAACCGTATTGGATCTTCAGTTCGAGAAAGGGACTTGTCCTGAAGGACTGCATTAGCTGCTGCTTTCAATTTTAGGATTGCTGAATCTGGAGATAAGCCACAAGGTGGCGTTGAGTTGGGCAACCACTTGCCTTGATTCCATATAAACCGGTTGTTTGCACCAAATTGGTCGTTTTGTTCCTGTTTTTCAGCAAGCTTTCTAGCAAGGACACTTAGCTGCTGAGCATGATGGGTAGATGGAGAAAAGGAGAGATTCGAGCCAAGGTTTACAGGTGACTCAACCCTGCCGTTAACTGTAATACTAGTGTCTAGCTTGAGAGAACCAGCCTCCAGCAGACGTCTCAGGTTACTACTCAGGGGCTTATTTGGGCCAGGAGTGTCATCTTCACATACAGAAGACACACCAGGGGAGAGATGGTCTTTGTTCTGTAATACATCTCGTAGAGCCTCATTCTCAACAGCAGCCAACTCCAATGTATTGCTGCTTGGAGTTGCACTACCCAAAGAAGTGTCTGGAGAGGTGGACTGTTCTTGGATTCTGTCCTCAAAGGATAACTTGAAGTTCTCCTGGACTTCTCCATAAGATGCTTCAGACAGAGTTTCTGAAGAGTTTCCAAACCAATGTTCTTCCTCACTAAGTTCACCTTCAGCTTCTTCCTGTCTACTACCATCTGCAGAGAATCAAAGGAACAACTTTCATTCCAAATTCTTACAAATTACACACACTACAGTTATGCTAAAATATAAGGCCCATGAATGCAAACATAGTATATCAAGTTAAGAAGAGTCTCAATAAATATTAGTTTGATAAAACTTTAGAAAGTGTTATAGGTATAGGTGGGTCACGTGGTCACTCCCACCCTCCACCTACAAACCATCCTTAGTTAGAAGTGTACAACAAGATGATTCTAGAGAAGGAGAAACTGTGACATATCAAATAAGACACAGAGATAATGCATGCCCTAAGATAAGCAAAACAAAGCAACTGAAATATTGAAAATACAGTGTATACTTCTGTCTGCTTGTCTTTGAAGTGTCAAGAAATACTAATAATTATTCCTATCAACAGTTATCTTCAGCAACAGGCCTCGAAAGTGCCCTTTACTACATTCTACATGGGCACATCAGACATGTCACAAACTTATACCTTTCTTCCTCATCTTCTTGCATTTTTCAACAGAGCCAGCTTAGGTCAATCTCCTGGGTGGCTGATGCTTGGAAAGGGGCAGGGGAATAAAGAGCTAGGTGTGCTACAGTGGCTGCCCTGCACTTCCTTCTTATGCACAGGGGATGGTTTCATAACTGGTATGGAAATATTGTTTAGCTGCTTGCTGGATTTCTGTACATGTAGGAGGGAGATAAGGATGGTCCTTGATCACTCCCTACAGTAAACAGCTTGGTCCATCCCTGCTCTTCTAATAACTGCTTTGAATTCTTCATAACCATGGTGGGGAAAGTGTAGCTCTCAAGACATTGCTGAACCACAGCTTCCATCAATCTCAACCAGCATGCTCAATGGTGAGGCATGGTAAGGCTGGCAGTCCAGCAGTTACCAGGAACATATATTCCCTACCCTACTTCAATGCAATGTCCAGTGTTCTGAAAGGGATCACACAGTCACGCTTTTTCAAAATTGCTTTACTTACATGCACACAATATGCTTTTTTGGAACATCCCACCCCCAGCATTTGAAGAACGTAATCCTGTGTCACATTACATTTGCAAATACTGATATTTATTAACATTTGGAGTCTATTTTTAAACAGCTGTGTCATGCTTTGCTTTTCCTCTCCAAACCCCAAATTTTCAGCCAGTTCTTCCTGCAGGCAGAGACAGAATAACTCTTTCCTAAGACTGTTCTTTGAAGGAAAGTTAAAATGAAGAGCACTTCCAATAGAATTGTAATTTTTCAATTGAAAACTGTTTGCTTCCTTAACCACATTTTCTCATCACTGGCAATTCTAACGTATCCTTTCTCTCCCGAGATCTGACTGGCAGTCTTTAAAGGGCAGTGACCCTGGATTGCTCCTGCTCACAATAGGCATTCAGAGAGAGACAGAGATGACCAAAGAATTTTTTGTGCCTCAGACAAACCAATCAAAATGTAGTCAAGAACAATAGCAATGTTAAAATTAAGTGGATGTTATCCTTTCTTGCCAGAGAGCTTTCTTAGGATGATTGCTTTGAGAAGTGAACATCCCAAGGCATAAAAAGACTCACAGAAACACTGTATTACAAGCAAGAACCTAAAACATGTACAGAAAATATATGGCACATGGACATAGGGTTTATACAATAAATAAAGTAGCTAAAATATTTATTTTGAATTGACTTCCAATTATGCAGAGAAACGAAATACAAATTTTATTTCTTAAATCCATACCCATTTTCACCTATCACATACATTGTAATTACTAAATAATCAGAGAATCCTGCACTTTTGTTTCACTTTTATTGTGAACAAACAAACAAACAAAATAACAGCCATGTCTATTTAGACGTCTGGCTAACCTGTAGTTTAGAGGCATAGATGCAGCCTGGTTTTATACAGAGTTAGGCATGCCTATGTATGTGTTATATGCTGTCAAGTCAGAACTAACTTATAGTGGCCCTTATTGCCTTTCAAGTTAAATGAGATATTTAAGGAGTGTTGGTTGGACAGTTCAGTGACAGGTATCTAGCTGTGGAACTAGAGGTTAAGAGTTCAATTTCCCACTGCCTCAGGAGAAGAACCATCACGTGTAGTCTTGAGCAAGATGCACAATCCAGGATGTCTCCAGAAGAAGGAAATGGTAAACATCTTCTGAGTACTCTATACCTATAAAACCCTGGAAAGGGTAATACAGTATATATTAGAATCAATGGCACATTATTATTATCAGTTCTGCCCCAGTGAATTTCCGGGGCCAAGGAGCGATTCTAACCAAGGTATCTTGAGTTCCAAGTCTATCACTCTATCCACTACACCACACTGGATATCACATGCCTAAGGATGTGATCACAAGAGGAAACAGGCCACAATTTTGACTGCTTGTGGAGTGTTCCGGTGCAATCTATTAACTGGTGATCATACAATGCATAGGGAAATGTGCTACAGGCCGACCCTGATCAATGACCAAGATGGGCCTTTTTGGTCCAGTTGTAGGGCTTCTACTTTTGGGACCAGGCTGGAGCGATTCCCTAGAAGATGGAAGGGTTACTATAAGAGATATTGCTTCCATGAAAGCAATCCTTTTCAGTGTGTGCTCCTCTGCAGCCATCTCATAGCACCTCAAGCCAACAGTGCAAACCAGGAATCAAGAGATATGGGGTAGGAAATGTTCTGAGAAGTTTTCCAATGCTATATTTTTCTGAAGAAACGTTTCCACACTGTATATCTACATTTATCCATAGTTGTCCTGGCGGTTATACTATAATCATGTTAGATGGACAAAATATAGTGTACAAATGTCTGCAAGTTATTATTTTAAGGAGGCAAGGCATGACAAACCCTAGTGCTCAGTTCCCATAGGAACTAAAAATAACATATGACAACATCTTCCTATGCATTACATATGTAGTTGGCTTCTGACCTGGGCCTAGACTAGACTTACACATGGCGTATTTGTCCTCAATAAATAACTACACTGCTAAGTTTATTTCTACAGTATTTTTCAAAATCTCTTGCCTCTCAATCATCACTAGGATAAGTAGTCAAGACAAAATGTGGTAAGTTGTCTGTGCCCACAGACTCATATCTAACTTTAGTAAAACAGAATGTTCAACTTCAAAAGAAACTATTGATATAAGAGAGAAGTATGTGTCCTAAAAAATAAAAAATAGTGTTCTTTCAGGTGTTGTCATTTTGTTTTAAATGCAAGGGAAATACATGCTATTCTCTTTACATTACTACTATTCCAATAAAATAACTTCCACATAAAGCTTTGAATATATTTGACTATAACCAGTAAACCAAACATTCTAAATCAAGTGACATTATTTAGAGCAATGGGGAAATTATCTGGATTTTTTTCCAGAAACTTTTCCAGTTCTACTTTTTCCAGAAACCCCACATCATTGCCAGGAACGTCAAGAGGTAGTTCAGGAAACATTCTACTGCAAAGGAAATCCAATGAACACGTCCTCCAAAATTCCAGTGAGATACCTCTGAGTAAATATGCATATGATTGAGATGCAAGACCATTTTACTCCAAATAATTATGGAATCTCTTTAGCATAAGAGCAAGCCAAACAGGGGCCCAACTTTGAAAAAATCTCCCCAGACTTCAAAATAGGAGTCGTCCTGTTTTTCTCTTTTTCATTGCCTGCTGGTAAAAGTTCCTTGTACTAATTTCTGAGCTTCTTGGGTTGGAGTGACCATACCACGTAACTAAATGAAGAAGGTAGACAGCAATGTGCTCCCTTATTAGGTGTAGCTTTAAGATACGAAAATATAAAGATATTGTATCTGGTAGAGGTTTTACATCAGAGAAAGCACTAATGCTCCCAAAAGCCAGGAGATTGAATTTCTGCAAGCCACTCCTCCCAAATACAGTGGGGTCTTGACTTAAGAATGGCTTGAGTTAAGAACATTTTGACTTAAGAACTGCTCTCATAGGAAAATATTGACTTGACTTAAGTACTTAGATTTGAGTTAAGAACTGAAAAAAAACCCACGTGGGAGGCAGGGAAAGTGCAAAAAGTGAACTTTCAGTTAACTGTTGGCCAGTGAAAAGGGTGCCTGTCTGCTTCCTTACTCCTCCCAGCGTTTAGAGAGTGGATTGGGAGACAGTCTTCGGACTGCCTGGTACTGGACTGCCTGGACTGTATTTTCCCAGCCTTCCCTGAACCTTTCTTGACCTGAGAAAAAAAGAAACAAAATATCCCCCTCTAGTGGTCGAAGGCGGAATAGCAGCTTCCCATTACTTTCTATGGACGGAAAAGAGCAGATACGGATCAAATGGTTTTCAATGCATTCCTATGGGAAATGCAGATTTGACTTGAGAACTTTTTGACTTGAGAACCGCCTTCCAATACGGATTAAGTTCTCAAGTCAAGACCCCACTGTACAGCTCAAAAGGTTGCTTCTAAGAGTTAGAGAACCTGACAGAATAGTTTGGAATAAGGCACAGAAGGTTGCACTTGGATGGGAGAGGTGTCAGCAAAAATCAGATTGAATCTTGTGCAAATTTAAGTCTTTTCCCTTAAGGATCAGCCACCATGTGATACAATCAAAGACACTGAGAGCACTATAAAAATGCAAAAGGCCAGCTACACAAGAATTTATCCTGCTGGAAAGTTTGGGAGCACTGTAAAAAAAAAATCCCGCTAACTACACAACATTATTGTAGAGCATCAAATCCATCTCTATTGGGGACCAATTCATCCCAAATTGTTTTAGGGTTGGAGCCTACAATTTACTTGAATTAGGATCGGTCCAAATAAGCACATTTTCTTTTTGCTGTATATCTAGATTGCTCCACTGTAGGGTCAAGTGTGTGTGTGTTCTTCCTACATGTCACTGGTGATGTGTAGAGGTAAGTGTGGTCTGGCCATGACTGCAGACAACATCCTCCATCCTATTTTGAAGTCAGAAAAGGGCATTTGAACTTGAATTTTTAAAAATACTTTTCTACTATTGTGCTGTATCACAGAAGTGCTATGTCACTTACCAAAAAATAATTTTAAAAAA